TCAATTCTCAGGTCCCAACACCACTTGGAAATATTCAGGCTGTTGGTCTCGTCAGAGTAGCTGACAGTCTACAGCTCTGACTGTCTCTGTACTCAGTTTTCATTCAGGTCTTTCCACTAGTTGGTGCCTAATCCACTTCTGTATAGTTCCTTTCAAAGCTCAGGGTTCCAGGATTATCTTCTGTATCTCTGTCAATTGGTTTTTCTTTTCTTTGTTGCAGAGGGTCTGTGTTGCTTGTCTGCCTATTCCTCCATCTTACTGGAAGTCCCTAGCTTTGATTTTATAATTGAGTATAAATATGCATGAGGATAAATGCAGTGTGCACATTGTATTTGATTTTAAGAACTAGCTTATGTGATAATACACATTTTTATACATTGATAAATTAGGATATTTTATTTGGAAATAGCATTTTAGAGAGCTGTAGTAATTCTGTCCTGAGCCTAATGATGCAAAAAAAAAGAAAAAAAAAAATCTGCTCATCAAAGAGTTGACCATCAATGAAATCTAGGATATTATTGTTAACAGGCATCTAACTGATAATATCTTATTTTAGTTCCCTGTGATGTACAAAATATTTTAACATTTATTTTCATAACAACCTGATGAGGCAAAATAAGATTTATCTTCATTTTAAATCAGAAAAAATGATTTGATAGATTGTGACATATTTTAAATCTTATGAGCAATAATGGTAATATAATACTACCATTGATTCTTTATGCTATTTTTAGACTATAGCTTGTATTTTTTATCATATTTTATAGATGAAAATACAGTGTTACCTGCACGATCAGGATATGCAATAGAAGACTGTGTAATTTCAGGAAATGTAGAAGAATTTCGTACAGATTTTATTTCTAGAATATGGCTGACCTACAGGGAAGAATTTCCTCAAATAGAGGGTTCGACTTTGACAACAGACTGTGGCTGGGGCTGTACATTGAGAACTGGCCAGATGCTGTTGGCTCAAGGACTCATACTACACTTTCTTGGTAGAGGTAAATCAGTCTATTTTTTTTTTTTTTAATTTGAACCCAGCTTTCAAACTGCATAAAATTCCCTTCGGTTAACTTCTTCACTAACTGATATTTTCTAAAGTTTTAACTAATCTAGTCTGGAACCTATCTAAGTGTAACTTACGTGTAAACTATCATGATTCCCGTTTGAAAAATTACCGATTAAGTATACCTGTTATTTTTGGTCACCTCAGTGAATTAAGTAAGTTATGTTTTTGTTATCCTTTTTATTTTTTTATTTTTGTTATTTTTATTTCCTTTCCTTCCTTTGAACTCTCTGAATTATCACCATTTCACCCATCCTGGGCAGATCAATAGCCATGACTTTGAGCAGATAACTAATGTTTTTACATTATTTAAATCTAATAAGTTACTTTACATTGCTTATTTATGCTGGTTTATTTTCTCCCTGTATAACAATAATGCTTTAACATTATTTTTATTCTTATAAATATAATCAGTCATATTAAATTTGTTAAGCATATTCTTAATAAGATCATAAAGCTTAGTCTTTTAGATTATCAAAATGTCATTGATACTGACATGTATACACACACACACACGTGTGTGTGTGTGTGTATATATATAT